TGGAGGATCCAATTATACATATGAAAAGAGCATTCTTAGATTAGGACACTACTTTGGGGATCTTAAGCCTCTTCATTTCTTCCAGAATAGTATTTGTAGGGTTGTAGGGCTCAATACATGACCTCTGTAATCAGACTGTCAAGGATCAGCTCCTGGTTCCGTTTCTTGCTAGCTGTTGACAATGATTAGGTGCCGCAATTTCTCTAAACCTCAGATTCCTCAACTATAAAAAGCGAAGGGGAAATTACAGTACTTACCCCACACAGTGGTTATGGTGCTTAGACAGGATAATGCCTGCATAGTCCTTAGCACAGGGTCTGACAGTTAATAAATGCTCATTAAATGGTACCTATTATAGAAACTATGTATTTTAAACCTTGAAAAACCGCCTTAAAAGCCAACTGGCCTAGGCCCTCCTCTTAAAGATGAGACAACTGAAGTCCAGAGAAAAGCAGTGACTTGTCTAAGATCTCACAGCTGGTTGGTAGAAATATTGAAACTAGAATCCTGGTCTTCTTATTCCAGTTCAATGTTCTCTCCTCCATATTATTTACTGGGCATGCAGGTCAGAGGCTGTCCCAGGAAAGACCTGTTTGGTATTTCCCAACAATAATCAGAAATTGTTGTAACTGCTAAAATAAGGAAGAAATGCAAGAATTGAGGTAAAACATACCTTAAAAGAGAGGTGAGGAACTGCAGGGCTAATGCTAAGGTGAAGATTTAGGGGTCTATCAATTTGACCCTGTTTTGTCACTGAATGTGCCTGTAGGCAGAATATCCATTTACTCTGCACCTATTCTCAGAATGTAAAAGCGGAGAAGAAAATATTACCAAATGCCACTGGATTGTTGTCAAGAAAAGCCAATAAAAATGATTACTCTGGCAATATAAAAGTGCTCCATAAAAGCTAAATAATCAACAGTATTTAAGCAGCATGCCACCAAGTGTCTGACAGGGTGCCCATGTTTTATAGGCAGCATTTATGACTTTCACAACCCAAATTTTCACTCTTTATGAGTTGTGTATAAATTTGGGAAGTGGTTGAAACCACATTTCAAATCAAAACCGCTTATGAGGCACCCTGCCACATAAGTGTAAATATCCTTGGGAAATTTCATATCTAACACAGAGCTTGGTGGAAGTGGATCTATCCTTTGGAGAGCTAAAAATATTCTAGATGGTTACCTTGGGCCTTAGGAAACTTTTGATCTGAGAAATATAAAGGATGTCCCCAAATCCAGAAATATGAGCTGGGTATGTCATTTTCTTACACATAATTATCATTACGGAAACTACAAATTTTGCATCTCTTCTTTTTGCTCGTAATTTGGCTATAGAGACACATATGTAAAAACTTTCTTTCAGCATGAATCAAATTGCATGAAGCTCTGACTCATTTATATTTGTCCTATGGTGCCTTGGCATATAGAAGTATTCCACATTTTTTTTTGCAGAATTTAATTGAGTTGAGCTTATTACTGTAATTCTTGTCAACACCACTTCCTGAATTTCATCCCACCCCTACTACCAAATTAGAACTCCTTAAGCTCAGCACACCATGTCTTACTCATCTTTGTGACCCTCACGCACAGTAGAAAGTTATATAAATGACAGGGAAAATGGAAGGAAGGAGGAAAGGTAGACAGGAAGAGAGGGAGGGAGGGAAGGAGAAAAGGGTGGAGGAAGAGAGGTAGGGAGACACTAAATTAATTTTTCTATTTGGAAAATGACAAGAAAAACTCCTCTCTTTCTCAGATCATTATTGATGATCCCAATTAGGGTAATGGGACCATGAAAATAAAGTGCAGCCAAGAGCAACATACAGAAAATCTAATGTAACTCAGTTACACCTCCTAGTAGAATCAGTCAAGCACCCTGTGGCAACCACCCAGTCAGCATCTCTGATTTCTAGCCACCTGGATGTGTCACCTTGGAAAAACTGCATCACTGAATGGCCACAGCAGAACTGTGGGGTCCTCTACTGGGGCAAGCCAAAGGATATCATGGAGGAGAGACAGCAGAGAATTCCCTCACTGAGAGCCCAGTGAGCCCAGTGGCACTGTTTAGCAGGAGTTGCCAGGGACATTATCACAAAAGGAGGCTTAAAAGTTTTCCCCTCACGGCTGAAGGGGCAGTATCCTAGTGATGCCTTGAACTTATCTCCTTCAAAGGCATTGTCATCAGTAATGCACAGAAATCTTTTGGTTATAGGTATGTCAAGAGATGGATGGGCAGGTAGAGCGGCAAAGCAAAGAGAGGGAAATACAGTAGGAGGATTTAAAAACAATAGAAAAAACTAACCAACTCCAAAGGTTCTAATGAAAATGGCACCAGCCTGTAATAACCCATATGTAGTAAAAGAAGTAAAATAAACATCATATTTATACTTTACAAAGCATTTCCATTTGTATCAAAGCAGTGATCAGATTTGGTTCAAAATTTTTGACCCTCTTACTGACAGAAATTATTGTCTTGAATTCTCTGTTTTGTCTTGTTCTGCCTCCAGCCCCATCCTGCCTCTCAGATCGTCTCTCCACAACCCTCCAGGCAGCCACAGAATCCTAAAACAAACCAGGACAGCCATCCATTTCCAAACAGTAGAGCTCAACTGGAAATACTATTGTTTTAACCTGGCTGAGATGAAATCCAATGGGAGATAGAGGGAAACTTGGCACAGGCCCTCTGGGAACTGGGGCCTTACATGCTGTGATAAATCTCCTTGTCACCTTTAGTCTCTGTGATTCCATGAGACTCACCACATCTGGGTAATTGGTGCTTGTCACATCAGCCCAGAAAGAAGCTACGGGCAGCATTTCAGGATCTAATAAGAGGACAACACCTCACCAAAGTTCAGTAACAGTGTAAAACAAATCACCCTTTGTGATTATCTTCGAGTTGAACTTCACAGACATCTTCAATTAATTTTCAATGTGCATATAAAAATCAGACCAATTGAGACATTTCCAGCCAAAATTCATAAAATTTAGGGAGAACACAATCTGTTTGCTCTCATTGACCAGACACATTTTTAAGCAAATATGTGAATGGAGTAAGCCAGGTTGCAGGAAGACAATATGAATGAATGAACAAATTATTATCTAAAATTAAATCTAGTCAATTTTCATTTATCACTCAAATTTATTTATTGATCATGTACTACATAAAATACTTTATTAACCCATTTGGAATTATCATAACTTGAGAAGGAATCAAACTGAATTCCTTTAAAGTATTTTAGATTTTTCACTGACTCAAGCTGTCCTTCTTACTATTAACACAAATTGTGAGTATATACCTAATATCACATGATGTCCTTCGATCTATACCCACAAATTGAGAAATTCCAGTTAAAAAAAATATGATCTGAGCAATTTCAAATATCTTCTGTGCTTAAAGTCATGACTAATTGCTAAGAGCTTTGAAAATGATAATAGTCAGTCATATGCAAAGTGATTTCCAGCCACCATATCTGAGGCTAGAACGTTATACCTAAAGAAAAGTTGTTAACAAGGTTTGTGTTTGCTGAGTAAATTAAAACTAACACCCCATTCCTTATCACATGCCTTACCTTTTCCAGGGAAATATTCCCATCTTCTTAACCTCAAGTTCTGGCCCTTGAGACAGGTATGTAGTTATAATAAAGATTTAAAATGAGTCACTGGTAGAAAGAGGCATGTAATTTCTCTGGAGCAAGAGAATGCTAATAAAGAGTAATAATTAATATAGTCTGGCTTCTTACTCACAGAATTTTCGGAGGGGAGATGAAAGAAGTAGACCTGAAAATATCTGGAACGATCATATGCCATACTGTCATATCTAATTTGGAGAAATGGATATCAAGGCAAATAGCCAATGATTATTTTCTCAATCTAATAGTCTTATGCCAAGTTCCCAGACAACTCTCATGGCATAGGTCTTATCCCCAAGGGCACAATGTGGTCCAGTCCAAATTCAGATCTTTGGACACATCATGGGTTAAATCCACTAAGTTCTAAAGGAGTAAACCCAAACATAAACTGGCACAGAAGCAACTTTATCTTTTAGGTCTTTGGGGCTGAAAGGTATACTCACGGGTCATACTAAGCTAGAGAAGACCTCAGAGACTGTTGGTCTCCTTCACCATTATGGGTGGGCTGAGGCAACAGACGTACCTGGTCTCCAGGGGTGCAGATCTGTTGAACTTATCTTTCTGTGGGAAATGCCCTATTCCAATTCTGCACAGGCTTTTGGGGCAGTAACAGTGAAAACATTCCAACTCAAGTTTGAGCTCCAAACCAAAGAGAATCCAGTACCTTTTTATGACGTCAATCCTCAATTATTTACACATATGGAAGAAAGTGGTGTCTTCAATAATAAAATGATAATTTATGTTTGACTTCACAACATGTTCTATATTTGGGTTTTTTGCTGTGGGCAACGTCGACAGACGTCTTTTCCTAATTAGCTTGACCCCGATTAATGTTACAATTAACATTCTCTGAGTGTACACACACGACTCACCAACTGATGGTGGGGAGAATGCCCAGAAACACATTGTGGGGTAGGAAAGGTGGTCTGAGATTATGGTTTTGCTGCCAGTAATTCACGAACTAGATCATCTGGATCAATAGGGAGTTGGCTGTATTTATATTAGGCGTTTCCTAGAGCCAAATAATCACATTAGCTGATTCCCATCCCTAAAATGTACGTAGTCTCAATAATTACTTAATGAACCTAAGTCTATCCAGCACACAGAATATTTTTTTAAGCCCAGGATTATCTAGTTTTACTGTTTATGCCGATCTAATTAACAACATAATTGCCAGCTTTTTTTTTTTTAAGCTCAGGCTGCTCCCCAGACCCGCGTGAGTTCTCTCGGGCTCGGGATATTTGGGAATGTAAGCGGCCAGTGCACGCTTAGTCCTGCCACTTTCAGGAACTAAGTCCTGGGAACGCCTTCTAGACGTTTCCCTCTCCCGAGACGGCCCAGGCGGCCTCCAGAACGGGCCGGGGCGACCCACCCGCGGCAGCGCGCCCGCCGCCCGCTCACCCATCTTCTCCTCCGCTGGGCTGCTCTCCGCAGGCTCCGCGGGAGGCTGGGCCGTTGCCTTGGCAACAGCGTCCTGCGCGGCAGGGGCGGCGGCAGCAGGCACGTCGGCTTGTTTGGGCTCCTCCTTGGCTGGGGCGTCTTCCGCCTTGGAGGACGGCAGGGCGTCAGCGGGCGCCGTGGCGGCGCTTCCTGTGTCGGCAGAGCCGGCCTTCTCCTCCGAGGGCGCAGGGGCCTGGGGGGCCGCCGGCTCGGTGGCGGCATCCGGGGCGCCCTCCGCCTGCTTCTCCCCGGAGGCGGTTTCGCCCGCCTTGCTGGCCTCCTCGGACTTGGGGCCCGAGGCCGGGGCCGCGTCGGGCGCGGTGGGACCCTCTCCCTGCTTCTTCTCCAGGCCGTCCGCCACGGGGGCCTCGTCCTTCTCCTTCGCGGCAGCCTCGGCAGCCTGGGCGTCACCCTTCTTCTCTCCTTTGAGCTTTTTCCTCGTTATGTGTCCACGGAAGCTAGCCTGAATTTTGGTCGCGGCCTTATGCGCCTTATCTTCTGGTTTGATGCCATCTTGTTCAATCTTTTGGTCCTCATCATTTTTTTCAACCTTTGTGGAGAACAGGGGAGGAAAAGAGAATGGAATGATGTGTTTCTTTTCCTTTCAATCCCAGCATTCCCCAAATACTTAGTGAATGATCTGTCCTGTGCTGGGCACCACAGTCAGGGTTAAGGCATCAACACACCCTGGACGTTCAAATCAAGCTGCCTCTTTCCCCACGGTGGAGAACTGAGTGGAGAACACATTACTTTATGGAAAAACGAATATCCTTTTGACTTTCCAGAATCGCTGCCATGATTTGATGTGTATTTCTTTCCCCAGATCGATGTCTCTCCATTGCCAAACTTAAACCCGCCTTTTTAAATACACCTTGACAATTCAAATCATATTCACCCTAAGTTTTAATCAAAGAGCCCTGAAAGTTACTGGTTTTCACGGTTCCTGAGAGGGACCCTGGCGAACTTTATGACTTAAAATTGTTTATATCAGGGAAAAGTCTCCATGTTTCCTAAAGATTTCAAGTCTGGGCAGGAAATTAACAGATCCAGGGCAAGGGTTTAAATAACAAATCGTATCAGGGCTTAGTGCAAAACACAAATGAGTTCCAGGGCTTTTAGGGGTTTGTGCAACTCCTGACAATTCAGAATGCTGGTCACCAAACGATGTCTACTTTCCCCTGTGTGTGGTCTTAAGTCAGTAATCAACATACAGAACCTTCAAAATTTTAGTACAGAAAATGCCCATTATTCTCGAGTTAAAAAAAAAGAATGGAGAACACTCGTTCCACTTTTGAAAGAATGGCATATATTCACTCAGTCACACTTGCTTATTCCCAAAGTAATTTAAACCTACAATTAGTTTTGTATGCTCATCAGTAGAGCCATCCTTAGTATGGAAGTCAAGAAACTAGAATACAAAATTTTTATCATTTGATCAGAACATTTACAGCATAACATATGCTGCAGATGACTTTTTTCCACAAGGAAATTAAATCAGAGGATAGGAGTAAAAGATACAGTCATGGAAAGAAATGTATAGGCAAATGCACACAATTCTGTTTAGCTCCATTGCTCACCATGATGCCTCAGTGTGGTTACTTAAGGTCTGCATTCATTTTTCCTTTAATTTTGGAGCATTTAACTTTTGTGAACGCTCTTGTAGCTACTGGGCAAATACAGCAGTGAATAATGCAGCAAATTTCCATCAAAAAGGACCAATGATAACAGAATTTTATCATATGCCAAGTCCTGCTGTTGGCCCCTATCTTGACCTTGGCCTGTTCTTAGCCTTTGCTCCAGTGAGGTAAGCCACAGCAGGCCAACTCAGGGTGTATTTTCTGCCTGTCATACCAGCTCTGCCCCAGTGACCCAGATCCTGCTAATCATGATGCAGGCCTCTGACATTCTTTGGACAAGCATATGTTACATAGGTCCGTCAACCTGCTAGAGGATATACAATGATATTTTTGAAAATCAGCAACATGTGTTAGTAAAAGCAAGACTGAATGTTGCAGTAAAATTCAAAACAAGTTTTTCTTCTTCCTCTTCCTTAACTGTGCATGTATCTAAAGAATGAAGGGGTGGATGAAAAGCACTTTGGAAAGGATGGTTCCACTCCCTCCTCCCAGTGCCATGCTGAGACACTGCTCCATTCTCTGATGTGCTACCACCTTCCCTCTGTCCTGCTGCTCTTGATGACTGCTCCTGGGGTACACACAGCACACTCTGGGGCACGGGAGCAGCTGTCCCTGCCTGGAGCTCTCTGCTCAGTGATGGAAGCATAACCCTGTTAAATTAACAGTTGTGGATGGAGCATGGAGCCAAGATGATGTTAATTTATTTTACTCTATCTTGAGTTTGCTAAATGAGGCACTATCTTATATAATAGGACATCTACACTTGGGCATTGATGCCAATACATATACCAATCCTGTGGAAGCAGATGAACTGATTATTTCTGAGTATGCAGGTTTGCAGAGAGGACCCTCCCATGACTCAAAATGTGTTTACAATTTGAGAGCCCCCTTTTCTCCTTAAGAATGCAAGCAAAGGGGATGGAACTCTTAAAAAGCTGGAAACCAGGAAAAGGTGGAAGCTGAGAGTCTGCATGATATAAAGAAAAAAACTTTACATGGACAAAGCAAGAGCTCCTCCCTATTGCCCCCACCCTCATCCCCAACACACACACTGAACTCTCAATTTCTCAGATCATCAGCCACTTTGACTTTCCAAATGATCAGGGCTTATGCTTTTGTGCACAGCATCTATATTAAAATGACTTTAGAAAGGCTCAGGTTAAACTTGGGTAACAAGATTGTGGGACCAGCCTCACCTGAACAATCTAGGAGAGTAAGTGACAAGGGAGGAAGGGGTAAGTAGGAAGAAAGAATCACCAAAGACCAGAGCTAGGGGAGAAAGGTGAGGACAGCCTTACAAGAGCTAGGTACCCAGACAGGTGGTGGATACACCCAAAGAGGTGCTCACAATACTCCACGGGCACACAGCTCACCCTAGAGGAACTGCAGGACCACATAACATCACTTGAGAGTTAGGGGAACTGGATTGTAGAGAATGGCTGGAAAAAGACAGCTAACTAATATTTTTCAGATAGTCTGAGGGAAAGACAGAGACAGAGAGGGAAGGGGAAAGGAAGGAAAAAGGGGAAGACAGGAGAGAGGAAAAGGGGGAAGAAACCTGCCTAAGATAAGTTTAGACTTGAGTGATGGAACAGAAACATCTAGAAACAAAAATATTTTAAGTAAAAATGGGGTCTTAAGCTAAACAGTGCTGGACTGTGGGTGTGTGCATGCCTTTCTTTTGTACCTGTAGTTGACTATTAATGTGACTTAAACCCAGGCTATTTTCTGGTTAAGTTCCCTTTACAGTACTAGAGGTAGTTGGACTAAGAGAATATTTTGTTATGAGAGGAAATGAGGAAGAGAATATTTCCCAACATTCTCTGTGAGGTAACCCCAAAGTGTCAGGCCACATAGACCTTTTACCAGCTGGAAAAGAGCTTTCCTAGGATAAAGGACATTTGAGCCCAGAGAAACCAGAGATCACTGTGTATTCAGTACAATCTTTTCAGTTTCTAATGATGATAATGGCCCTAAAAAGTTAAATGACTTGATTAATTCATAGAGTGAGTCAGTCAGTGGCCCAGCTTGTATTTGAAGTCAGGTCCTCTCCCCTCCCACCAAACCCTAAGTCCAATTTCACTGCATCAATGACCTGGGATAGCTGAGCCTTTCTTGTGGCAGATAATCCAGAGAGCATCATGTCAACATCCTCATTCATTTACTCACTGAACAATGCTGAGTGCCTGTGCTAGGCACTATGGACGTATTAGTGAGCAGATGGATTTATCTACCCTCATAGGATTCTTTTTCAAATGTCATTTTTTTTAATAGCTTCATAGTACTTTAGTAATGAATATTCCCAGGAATTCCCAGTAGACACTTGATTTTACACCCATCTGGTAAAGTAAGGTCAATAGTCAATGTGGTGAATAACATACTGAGGAGGTCTAAAAAAAGGGAATCTTGTTATTTAATGGCTAAAGAGTCAGTTTATAAGTCTCATTAGGATATATTTAATTTTTAAACTCTGCCTTGCCACAAAAAAGCTTTGTGCTAAGCTCTGATGCTTTCTGAGGGAATTTCAGGATTCATTTTTACACTGGATTTTTGTTATCTCTGAATTAATGGAGGAGGCCATTCCATGGGGGAAGTTTCATTGCAAATTGAAATAACTTTTTCAGGTATCTTCATTGCTAGAGCTTCTTAGTGTTTTTACTGACCAGTTTGTTTGAGAGCTGTATAATTTATGAAGTCTTAATGGAAACTGAGATATGTAAAAGCACTTCTTTTCAACCAGTGCTGAAATTCTGGATAAATATTGGTCTGAAGAAGATAAAGGATACTATTATACTAACTTGTGGGACCTAGTCAAAATTCTAAATCTATAAGGTGGAAGAGCAATAGTTTTCATCAGTATTTAAGAATCACAGATACAAAAGTCAAATATAAAAAGTAGTTATTTAATCCTACTATTGTTGCTCTGGTTAGTAGTTTTTTTTCCCCTCTGGGGGAAAGGGGAATGGCCAACTTAGGGTTCATTCTATGATATCCAAACATTCACTTTTATTATAAGAGAGCTTTAGGCAAAAATCTATGAATGCCTGACTTTCAGAATTTAAAAAAAATATCATCCTTTCAACTGGGACACCTTAATTCACTTAACATTTTCAAATTATCATAGGATTACCTCTACTGTCCAAGCACCCAAAAGACTTAGCCCTGTATTACTTCTGCCAGCTATAAATACTACTATTATTATAATGCTTCATATCTTCTCTTAAACAGGATTGAATTTTAAATGCTTTAAAAATTATCAAGGTAGAGCAATTCTTCTAAGAACATCTTTAGTGGGCCAAAACATTTTCAATTTGAGGGAGAAAAAGTACATTTATGAGAGGTAAAAGAGAAGGGTTGAAAATATCCTGTTTTCTTTAACACTACAGTTTTTTCAGGCCTACCAGAACTTATGTGACCCATAAAAGAACCAGAATAAAGTGATGATATATATAAAATCTGGCAAACATCTAGTTATGGCTCATTATGTTTTTATTAATAATTTTTGAGATGAAATTCATATGAGAAAATTTCACTCTATTTTTAAGCAGAGTTGATTTTAAACATAGCTGATAGCATATACTTTAAACATTCACACTGGAGCTTCTGTACTTTCTTTGAACCTATTCAAAGATCAGAAATCCAGGGAAATGGCCTTAGGAAGGAGAAAAAGGAGAATAGGTCAACCTTCTACAGTTCTATAGATGAAATGTCTTCAGGTTCTGGCAGTTGTAGGAAAGAGGGTGTCATTTAAAAGATGAATAGGCACACCTGGCAGACACAGGGTTCCTTCAACACTCAATCTGGTTTGAAGATCTAACTGGAGATGTGAGGGGTTGGGGAGCAGGATGCAGGTAGAGGCCATGAAATTGGTTCTTTTGCCAACAATTGTTATCGTTTCTTTAAACTCTGATCT